AAAAAAAAAAAAAAAAAAAAGAATCTGGTCTAAGACTGGGCAGACCACAGAACTTTTCTGAGTCCCCCAAGAAAGGGGCACAGACCTCACCAGAAACAGCTCTACAGAAATTTGAGCCATCAGGCCACAAGAGAATCATCTTATATTTAGCTTACAAGGTTAATTGCCACAATGTTTTAAAGTCAAAATATTCTGGATTTGTTAACTCTTGCTTGCAGCATACCAAAGATCACTGGAGCTGGATAGCTGGCACTCCCCACGTGAAATCCAGAGCTGCCATTTTAGCTGCCATTTTCCTGCTGACGTTTTCCACATGCTCACCTGCTTCACAACTTGCTCAGACTCTGTAGGTATCAGATTTGTGGCTTCTGACATAGGCAGTTAAAGCAACACATTTCCTCAAAAGGAAAATGCATTCATAGAAACACACAGGGAAGCCCAAAAACTCCCTGATAAGACAACTCTATATGATAACATCCCCCTGACATATAGAATTCAGCTGCAGATCTAGAGGAGCTACAAATCCAACTCTTAAGTCCTGCCACTTTATGGTCTCATACACAGAAACAGTACAGCTGTTCACCAAAGTACTTTGAGATTCTGCTTTTCAACCAATTCATGCAACCAGTTAATTATAAAACAGGGGCACGTACTCTAAGCCTGCAGCACCCCAAAGAGCCCAGCATTGCAAAATGCCTGTGAAAGCAGCCTAGGCAGATCCAGGAAATGTGGAGTGGGATTCAGACCACACTGAGTGGAACCTACTTCATCAATGCCCTCTTCTTCATGAAAGGTGCGAGACAGGAAGAGGCAAGTCATGGTGTCTTCTTTCTTGGTGAAGAGGATAAAATCCTTCCCAATGCGCATTGAGCCCCTAAAAGGGAAGAAGAACAGATTATTCTCCCAGGGATTCCAAAGCTCATCGGAAGTAGAGTAGGTGGGCACACTGGCTTGCTCCTGTAATCCTAGCACTCTGGGAGGCCAAAGTGGGTGAATCGCTTGAGTCCAGGAGTTCAACACCAGCCTGAGCAAGAGTGAGACCCCACCTTTACTTTAAAAAAAAAAAAAAACAAAGTATAACTATACAGGTGTTGTGGTGGGTGCCTGCAGTCCCAGCTACTTGGAAGACTGAAGCAAAAGGATCACTTGAGCCCAAGAGACTGAGGTTGCTGTCAGCTATGATGCCACAGCACTATATCCAGGATAAGAGAGTAAAACTCTGTCTCAAAAAAAAAAAAAAAAGAAAGAAAGAAAAAACAAAGAAATGAACTGGTATTATAAATTCATACTGGATATTATTGAAACTACTCTCGGGGGACTCTCCTAAAGGCCCCCTAAGGTTCCAGAAGTCTGAGCTGAGTGCCACAGCCTTTTGTTCCCTCTCCACCCCTCCAACACTCTTTGCTCTACTTTTCCACTGGTCTGTTAATTCTTTAGTCTTTACCTACTCCCTGCTTGACCACACTTAGCCACCATACAGGGCTCTCTCACCACCCTTCTAAGGCACGTTCACTGCAAAGCACTACCCTCATGTTAGTCTCACTTACAGCCTGTTGCCAACGCTAACAAGTAACCCTATTGTTCTCAAGCTCCATGTCCATTCAAGCCACATGAAGGTCACTATGCCCTGTGCCACCATCAGACTTTATTCCAGCAGCCAATACTTTCAACACATCATTTTCCATATTGACCATATCCAGTTCCTATCCTGTCCTTCCTTCACTGACACAAACTTCCCTCTGTCCACTCACCAAACCTTAGCAGCATCAAACAGCCTAGTGCCTATACTTACACGTCCTCAAAAACACAGTATGAACCCAAGGCTCAGCAAAACATTAGGGCTAACAAAATATAATTCTTGACCACAGGATTCAGGGAAACCTGTAATTAGCTCATGCCCAACAACTATAGCCATTTCCAGTTTTACCACCTCAAGCTCATTATGACACAGGCAGACCCTTGCGTTTTGATGCCTCCATTTTCTGGGAACTGAGCCTTAAGGCCAAAGTCCATGAGGTAAAGTCAGAATTTAATCAACTGCTTCCTTCCTCTGGCCACATTAAACCATGTAAGCAGCAGGCAGGCCTTTCCAGGCAGCCCAGAGCAGCCCAGAAGCATGAAGCACCAGCAGGAGGACTGCCCACTGAACAATGGGGCTGCTTAGCTCCTTTCTTCTGAGCAGCTTCTGGGCTTTATGGCCATTATCTCATTAGTCTTCATAACACCACAGGGAGATGATGGAGGTGAGAAGGTTCATTAGTCTTTTTCATGTACAAATAAAACTAAACTGGCATGCCAAGCACACAAATGAAACGTCATGCCCCATTTCCCCAAACACTAAGGAAATTCTCAGGACACTATCCAGAGATGCCCTGGGGGCTGCCAAGTCATTTCTCCTCCTCCAGTACCCAAACTGCTGGCAATGCTCCCTCATATGATTATTTCACAGTCCAGTCCTACTCCTTCTTCCCTAAAGCTTAGGGGTAGCAAAATGAGGTATACTATCTCGCCTTCTGTCAAAGCTTGCCCTGGTCCTAATCTGCAAAACCTTGCTTTGTTCCTTTGCTGTCCCTCTCTCTTTTATCCTGAAATTACAGCCTGAGTAGCAAGAATCCCAAACACTACCTCTCTGCTAGCTTCCCTATTTCTCAGCCCTACTCTCACCACAAATTACCTCCTTCTGCATTCTTTTACAACTTCTGAATTGGTTCCAAAATGATTATATTCTCTACTCTGAACACTAGATGGCTCCATCTCAATGAGCCCTTCACAAAAGTCTTCTACTAAAATATGCTAATGACAATGCTCTCAACTTCTGCACTTTGCTTCCCAGTCTTCTAAGCACTTTTAGAGTCACATTTCATTTGCTCCTGAACCCCACTCAATAAGGGGGAATGTCAGAGATTAGAACTCCATTTTATAAATTAAGAAATAGGTGAAACGGCTTGCCTAAGGCCACAGAACTAACAGTATCAGGTCAGAGGCAGAGCTGTCTGTCCTACAATCCAGAAAATAAGTCAGGATTCCACTGACTCTAGGGGGCCTCGGTTAGTGGGAACCTAGATCACATGCATCAGAATCACCCCATGTGATTTATCTGTGATTAGAGGTGATCCATCTCATCAGTAAAAAAAAAAAAAAAATACAGGTTCCTAGACCCACTGAAACAGGACAGGAATTTGCCATGCTAAGATTAAAAAATGGGAAATAAAATAAGCCAGAAGCTAGGCTCTCACAGCAATGACAGTATGTAATCCTTAACCCATTTGGTATGAATCATAATATAAATCTGAAAAGGAGGAAACTAAGGAGCAAAAGTAATTAAGTGGCTGAGGCAAGATGTGAACCTCAGCTTGTCTGGTTGTAGTGAAAGGAACAGCAGCTCCATTTTGCAGCCAGAAAGACCTGGTTTGCATATCTGCCTCTAAACATATGCATCTTCACACCTTTGGGAAAGTCACTGTACCCCATAAACCTCAACTTCATCTAAAAATAAGATTAGTACCCATACCTCATAAGGCTATCATGAAGATTAAATAAGATGTAGATAAAATGTAAAGATATTAGCACAGTGCCTGGCACACTGTGTACTATAAGTACTCATTATTAATTATTAACTAATAAGTACTCATTATTACCATTTGGTTTCCATCTTGAGAAACAAATCACAAAGTCCAGGTATCAGGTCCCTGATTTCTTTAGAAGCACTCTCTTTCTTCTCCACACACCCAAAGCACACTGGACGTGAGGCCCAACTGATGCAGGTAACTGATCAAACCACTGCCATCTCTCAAACAAAACAACAAGTTTCCACAGCAAGCCTGGAATCATGACTCATAATTCCATTCACACAAACTCCAAGTCCACTAAATCTTATTCTATCCAAAGGTATGTACAGCTGGAAGTGAGCATTTCAGAAATAGAATTCTTTCTCTTGGGGCTTCACTCAAAACCAGAACAACACATTCCAAACACTAAACAAGTAGGAACTAAGGGCTAAGAAAAGAAGTCCCAAGTGAGTTGAAGACATCAGATAGGTTCCTGCTATAAGGCCTTATAGGACATGTGCATGAAGACAGAGACTTCTGGGGACAGAGGGCCTGTATCTCTCCTACACACTCTGGGTCCCCAGTGCCTGGCACAAAGCATGACATACAACAAATACTTGGGGACCCTACTGTACTGTGAGGAGACTCCCTCATCATCTCAGACACAGCCCAACCCCACAAGAGTACCACTCACATCCTCAATTACAGGGTAAAAATAAGAATTTTTAATAGGAGAGATACAATGCCAAGAGAAACCTACAGCCTCTCCTGCCCTAATTGGTTTTGGACATTCATACTTTTCAATCTGTGCAGCAAACTCAGCCAGACAACAGTTGGTAAGCTACTCCCAAACCACCACTCTTTTCTGACTGCCCTGCTCTTCCAGTTACAGTCATGGAAGGACAAGGAGGAGCTCATCACTGGATTTTAAGCACTGTGACAGGCTGCTATTATACCTACGATTTTAACCCATTCCCATACTGCCCAATCTGAGTGGATTCAGGAGTTCGTTTGGCCGACTTCCCAAACTGGATCACACTGGCAGCATCACCTGAAATGATAGACACAAGAGAAAATAAAAAGTTTACCTTTCTTTTCCAAGACCTTTAAAATCAAAGGTCTAAGCCTTATTAAATCCAAGCAGGGCTGTGTCGTCCACTGAAAATCTCTCTCCAAGAAAATTCATAGCCATGAAGCAAATGGAGGCAAGGTTTGCCTGGCCTGTCGTACCTCCCTCACTGTGACCTGTGTTCTGTTACTACAATATGGTAAATGGGAGGGAGTCCTCTGTAGTTCTGGCTCCAAGATGTTTGTGCAAGCTGATAAATCCAATGTCAAGAAATAGGTAATCTGACTGACTTCAAGTTGCCACTCAAATTCTATCACCCATGTTAGGACAAGCCCCAGCAAATACATTAGCAGAATTAAGCTTGAGATATTGCAACAGATTTCTTACTCCCTAGGTGGATGTTTAGTGACAAGAATGAGGCAACAATAACAAAGAAAAATTCTACATAATCAGTATTTTGTAAAAATGGTTACCTCCTCCCCCAAACAAACAATCATCTCATCACTTACTCGGATCCATTCCTGCTCCATCATCCAAAAAGCAAAGCATAAATCCTCCTCGAAGGTCCTCTCGCCTTTCTGTAAAAGAAGCAGCTGCCATTACTAGGCTGTTATTCACCAGAGGGTGGCAACCTTCGTATGATCAGAGGGTGGATCAAGGTAGACAAAGCTTGGTCCAAAAAAGTCAGGTCAAACTTAGCTTCGTAAGCTAATATGAATTAAACTTCAGGGTCCTTGAAGGTGTGAATTTCCATCAAAAGTTCTCCAGTGCTTTGTAGTGTATGACAAAGATTGAGAGAATCTATAAGTAGGGCAAGGAATACCTGGGTCTGACACCTAACCACATCCAATATTGCTGAATACATTTCACACACATCACCTGGATTCCTATCACTTCTGCCCTGTGCCATGGAAGCCACTAAAGTGGCTAAAGTACTCTGTTACCCACTGTATTTCATCAACACTATTCTAACTCAACAAGGTACTTCCTTTATAAGTTAAGTCTAGGGTAGCCTTCAGACAAAGTGATCAAGCCAGACATGGTATGAACATAGTGGTGGCAGGTGCTATCTAAAAGATGAATTACTATGTGCATATAAGTCCATTCCCAGACTAACTGCTATTTCTAGGCAATTTGTATACATCTTCATATCCCCAGTTAGCTATGGGTCTTTGAAAGGACTCTCAAACCCAGAAGTACGATGGCACAAGGAAGAGTGAGAGATGCCTGGTTTCCAGTTGGACCTGACAAAGAACAGTTCTCCTTTTGACAGTAAGATACACAGAAGCCTTGGCAGAGCTTTCTGGACAACAGAAAAGGAACACAACAGACAGATACTGCCATTCCAGTGAATGGAAGAACTTCTTCTTACAGTAGCTGTCTTCGGAAGCAGCAAGTGACAACTCAAACCAGTCCAGGTCCAAACCTGTCATGGACAACACAGAAGCAATTCCCAAATAGGAAAGGGGACTATGCTAGTTTCCAAGGTGTCTTTTGTCCCAAATGAGGACTAGATGAGAAAAGGAAGAACCAGCCTTGGAATCAGAAAAGTGTAGACAAGAAGAGAAGGATGTGAGGCACAGATGTAGGCAGGGAACCCATAAAAGCCAAACAAGAAACCACTAACACCAATCTCCCAGTATAGATGCTGCTTGGCACCTGAATAAAGGCAATACTTCTAAAACAAAGAAGGTCTGTATAAAATACTATACAGACAAGTCCAAGGCTACTTTGGAGTCTGGTCTCTAACTGGGAATATTTTTATCTCCCCCACGTTGCAGTTCACACTAACTTTCTACAACTATATAAGCTCAAAAATCTCAGTTTAAAAATGCTCTTTGTCCTCCCCTCAGGCTAAAAATTCAAGTAAATCTTAACTGTCCTCTATTAAATAGACCAATTAATGTAATTTAAAATACCATTTCAGCAAGGCTATAAATCATAGAGATTTTCAAACATCATTCAGTGTTCAGGAAACTCAACTAACTGCAAGCACTTCTTAAAAGTTCAAGAAAGTTCTTGGAATAAAGAAGACTTCTTCCTGGTAGCTAGAAAATGTCTCTTTATGGTAGTGCCTCTTATCAGAGTCTGAGGAATCCAAATCAGATGTGGTAAGCAGGAACAAGTTACAAGTAACTGCAAAAAGCCTTCAAAATTTCCAGCTAAAGGAAGTGAAACTTCATATGGATACTCAAACTGAGTCAGGTACAGAGCATCATAAAAGCAGTGTTCTAATTCTAGCCAAGAGCCAAGTACTGTACATTATAACCCTAAGATGTTCATGAAGATTCTGCTGTGGAATCTAGAAACTGGTTCAAGTCAAGCACATATGAAAAGTCCCCATGGATCATTGGCATTCCTTGAACACTACACTTAAGAAGTTACTTCCTAGGCTCTTGTGTCAGGACAGAATTCTCAGGCTGTTTTAACACACAATTATCACTTGACGGTGGGTCTGGGATCCCTTTCTGGCTCAAGGACTTCATTTCAAAACTTTTTAATGTAGTTTACAAGGGTACAAGACCTCCATTGGGAAGATTCTCCTGGACACACAGTGACGAACAGCCTGTAAATAGCTAGTAGTGGCCAGATACAGGGTAACATGCAATGCTGCCTCAGGACAAAGAAAGACTTGGTAATACAACAGTACTTCTTCAACTTTGTAAACAGACACAGTGTGGTGCCTTCACCTGGTTACAATGGCTATGCCAATCACTTGTTTATTCAACAGCTATTTACTGAGCATGTCCTATGTATCTGGCTGCATGATGACAAGAGCAGTGAACAATGCAATTGTGATTACTGACTTCATGGAGCATACAGTCTAATGGATTCTAGTCTCTGGGACTCTGTGCAGCATAAAGTAGAACATAAAGAACCCAGGAGTGTTTTGCCTGAAGGAGGCCAAAAAAAGGCGACTAGAGCACAAAGTTTTGTGCATAAGAATCACCCAAACGATCACCAAATACAGACACTGGGCACCCTGGATAGTATGATTATTTAGGTATGAGGTGGGGCCTAAGTATTTACATTTCTAATAAGCTTCCAGGTGATATTTAACTCTCCACAGGTGAATCACCCTTTGAGAAGTGCTGAGCTAAAGAAAAGCAAGAGTTCTTAGAAGGCTTCTTTGCTCAAAACTATCTCCATCATGGAGATTCATTCATAACACCAGATATTTATTTTTATCAGTGAAGTGAGCTACATCTAAAGCCTCCAAGGAAAAGAAATGGGATGGAGGGAGAATTCTGGACAGAGGAGAGCATAAGCAGCTGAACGTTGTGTGTTCCCCCTTCCATCACAGATCTTGGAACCAAGACAGGGAAGGCAAAGCCATACTGCTTTCTTTGCAGCTGTGGTTTAGATCCAGCTAACAGCTCTGTGAGACTGTTAGAACCAGTCTGAAAGGGTACACATCTCCCAATATGGCCAAGTCTGGCTTCTCCAAGCTTAACATCCCTCATCCAACTCCCACTGAGAAAAAAAGAAGTGGGAGATCTCAAATGCAACTATAAGTAAAAAGTCAGGAGTGCTATCAGAAATGATAAAGTAATGGTGTCCTTAGCAATGGCTAACATCCAAGTTCTTCATCATACTTTAGTCTCATTTGCCCTAATTTTCCATTTACTAATCATTCCACTGGCATCAAAAAGGATCTTTGAGGAAGTGGCACCTATCACAGAATGTCAATAAAAACACATATTCTGGCTTGGTGCCTCTAGTTCAAGTGGCTAAGGCACCAGCCACGTACACCAGAGGTGGTGGGTTCGAATCCAGCCTGGGCCTGCCAAACAATGACAACTACAATCAAAAATTAGCAGGGGGTTGTGGTGGGCCCCTGTAGTCCCAGCTACTTGGGAGGCTGAGGCAAGAGAATAGCTTAAACCAAGGAGTTGGAGGTTGCTGTGAGCTGTGATGTCATAGCACTCTACCTACACAGGACAATGCTTGAGGGTCTATCTCAAAAATAAATAAATAAATAAAACACATATTCTGATCCAGCCCCAAATAAGAATGCTCTGGGTAAATGAACACCTCTACTTTCAGAAGCTGCCTTCTTTCTTGCCCTTCTTAGTTTTAAATATAGTCTTTACAATTTGAGTTTACAGAGACTTCAAACTACTTCTGATATTTGCAAAGATTTCCAAGTTCAGTATCAATCTAGTTTCAGAATTGGAGATCAAGAAAATGCCTTCCCCCAGGTACTAAAACAAGAACTTTAATATTAGTACTGATTCCATTGCCTTATTCTCCTGTTGAATGTGTTAATAAGGCCCTAAGGTGGAAAGTGTGAAGTTAAAGATGCCTCAGTCAAGACTTCCAATCTCGGCTCGGCACCTATAGCTCAACCGGCTAAGGCACCAGCCACGTACACCTAAGGTGGCGGGTTCGAATCCCCAGCCCTGGACCCGCCAAACAATAATGACGGCTGCAACCAAAAAATAGCTGGGCGTTGTGGCAGGCGCCTGTGGTCCCAGCTACTTGGGAGGCGGAGGCAAGAGACTCGCTTGAGCCCAGGAGTTGGAGGTTGCTGTGAGCTGTAATGCCACGGCACTCTGCCCAGGGGGACAGCTTGAGGCTCTGTCTCAAAAAAAAAAAAAAAAAAAGACTTCCAATCTCAAGAACACATCGAGTTTTTTTTTCCAAAATGCTACAGTACTTAGTGCTTTTACCACATCATTTAATCTTTAAATGTCTTGACTATTCCCTCAAGATCTAGTTATTAGTCTTTAATTACCTATAGTGTCATAATTTATCTCTCCAATTAGAGACTAACTTTTTAAAGCAGAGACCCCATCTCATCCTCTCACTTTTCCCAAAACACAACAGAAGTAGCACTTAGCACAGCATAAAGGTACACTAGGTCTTTTCATTGAAAATGACATCCAACTATTTTCTGCAATCTGAGTGGCAAGAACTAAATTTTCTTGCTGAAATTACTAAAGGTGGTAAGAGTGAAACAAAGATCTTTCTTAAAAACATCTTCCAAATTCCAAATACACTCAACTATTATGATTTATCCCTTCAACATCACTTGGAGTAGAAACCCATTCTCTGCTTTATTATCAATACAATGATTAAACTAGCCAACATTTCTTTCACAGGTAGCTGTTACAACTCCTTACAAAAGCAAACTTAGACATAAGACACATTCTGTGGCTCAGAAAGGGGTCTCCATCTGGCCAGTAAACATCTTCTAACATTCTTCTGCTGTGCACCCTTTTCCCTGTTACTTTCTTCTAAAAATAAAAGCAGCCCACTGTGGCAGAGACTTCCGAACAGACGGCTTTCAGAATTTTAGCAGTATAGCTAGCTTTCAGCTGCTCAGATTTTCTTTGCTCCAAAGTGTATCAGGCATGAGAAACTGATCATATCTGATAGAGATTCTTCATAATTATATGACATTGGAGATTCTGAGAATTACTACTTAGTTATGTGCTTACTCCCTTTTATCAAACAGGCCCATGAACAGGGGTTATTTAATAACTGTATATTACCACATAAACGCATAGACTTCAGAACCTAGTCCATGCTATTCAAAGTACTACCTCAAACCTTTCAGAAAAGTCTGTCTGAAAAATATACCACACTAGTCAAATTATATTCAAAATCTATCTTCTTACTATCCACTTCCAAATTTTTAGTATTCAAATGATCAAAAAAATGCTAACACAAATACCAGGAAGAAAATAAACTGTTAGCAAAATAAATGAAAGGCCAATAATGACTGTTGTACCAACTGTAAGGAAAAAAAAAAAAAAAGATCTTCCTGTATAACTGGAGAGCCAACCAAATTAACAAAACAGGTTTAAATTCTAAGCCAAGCAGCCTTCCTTCCCACCTGACACCTCTGTCTGAGAACATCTCTGCTAACCTCAGAGCCAACCTAGTTACCAGGTGTTTTCTGCAACTGACATAAGCAACTCTCCAGCCTGGGGCTGGTGATCATGAAGGGTGCAGAGCAGGCATCCTCAGACTACGGCCCACAGGCCACATGCAGCCCACCTAGGACATTTATCCGGCCCGGTGTTGCAGCTGCAGCCACTGCCTGTCCTGCTTAGCAGCCGACTAGTCCCAGAGCCCGCAGTCCGGCCCTCCAGCGATCTGAGGGACAAGTGAACTGGCCCCCTGTTTAAAAAGTTTGAGGACCCCTGGTGCAGAGAGAGAAAAATGACCTCCAACAAGATTTCTACCTGGCTGTAGGTACCACAAACCCAGTTCACCTAATCACAAAAATGAGTAATACTTGATCATTTCACTCCCTACTACTCTACAGTATCACTCTCATAAATCTCCTGGTGGCTATTTACATACATTTGGATACCCCTGGTTCTTGAAACCACTATCTTTGGTTCCTACGCCTGACCAGAGCTAACTGTACCTAACGAGGGCTGCTCTGTTTCTAGTCTATGACCTAAAGTAATTGCACTATCTCCCGAGACTCCAGAAATCCCTCATTTTTTTCTTAGACACAGTAATAAATATATTAAGATCAACTAGGTATTAAAAGAAAGGACTGAGTTACCTGCATAAATATCTATTCTGGTGGCATCAGCATCTCTGCAAAATTAAAAGAAAAAGTCAAGATCTAAATGAGAATATGAAATATAAACCATCTAAATGTACGACATTTTATGTAGAATCCACAGTAGTGTGTCTTTTCAGGAAACTATACAGAAATTCTATATTCATTAAAGCTTCACTTTTACACTTGGCAACACAATTTTCCTTATATATCTGTAAAACATTTCTGAAGCCCCACAGTAAGATAAATCACATTACATTTAGGGCCTAAATGTTTTTTGTAATGCCAGTTTCACGGTGAAAATATCTATAGATGGCTGGGTATGGTGGCTCACACCTGTAATCCTAGAACTCTAGGAGGCCAAGGTGGGTGACTGCTTGAGCTCAGGAGTTTGAGACCAGCCTGAGCAAGGATGACACTCCGTCTCGAAAAAAAGCTGGGCATAGTGACCAGTGCCTGTAGTCCCAGCTACTATGGAGGCTAAGGCAAGAGAATTGCTTGAGCCCAAGAGTTTGAGGTTGCTATTAGCTATGTATGTTAGCCAGGACACTCAACCCCAGAGCGACTGAGAATCTGTCTCCAAAAAAAAAAAAAAAGAAAAGAAAAAAAAGAAAGGAAAATATCTATAGGATAAGCAAGATCATTTCCCTTTACCCACTAAGAAGTGATTCAAATATTTGTTTCTCTCACTCATTTGACTGCAATCATAAACAGACATTCCAATAACTTGTTCATTTTTTCCTTCACAGTTAAGATTTTAAGAAAAAAAGGAAAACAATAATCTGCCACCAAAATCTATGAAAAAATCAAGTTTTGTGGTATTTATACTACAGTCAGCAGAATGAATCCTAAGCCCATAATTCTACACTGCCTAACCTTGAAAAAAAATTGGGGTATTCTATTAGAGTCCAGCTATTGGCTAAAATCATACAGATTCAGTCATCAATGAAGACTTCCATAAAGTCTTAATATAAAGACTTGTATAAAGGCTTGAAGTAATTTAGTCCACTTCTGCCAAATGCAGGCAAGGAAAATGAAAGTTTCATTAGATTATATGCAAAGAAAAAAAAAAGTCAAAATCTACACAACTATACATGTACCTATTCTCAAAGATACGAAAACATTTTAAAATATGAGAGAGACTGGCAAAATGCATGCATAAGTAAGGAACATGTACTCCCAAGAATCTCTAATTCAGCGTATGATACACAAAAAAGCAGCCTGCCACCATATAGTATGGTCTCACTAAGTTAACAAGTGGCAAATTCACACAGTTCCCAGTAAACCATAATATTTTTTAATTTTAATAGAAAAATTATCAGTCAACCAGGATTCAAATAAAATGGGAGTTTTCTGATTAAACAACGCAATATGCATACTTCCACAAGCAGTCCAGTTAATACTAACAACAAATGTAATAACAGATTATTATACAAGGTTGGGTGAATATAAGAAATTATCAACAAGCTCATTAACTTGGTATCTGTTTAGGATATTTCCTGTCAATTCTTAACCTCTTTTTCCTTCATTAGTCGTTAACATCAGGTCAATAAATGATGGGAATGAATTTTATGTTTGCATTCAAGAATAACACTGGGACAATATTTTCATTAATATAAGTATAAACAGAATCTTGATTTGGACTTGGATCATTGTCTTTGAACAAACCCAAACTTCTATTTTATAAAGTATCATTTATATGATTCCACCACTAAGAACTCAAGTATGATAATAATTATACTGAGAATAATTTCTTCCAAACATAACTACCAACAATGGAAGACACTTTTTTGAATATATTAAAAAAACAACAAATTGGGCAGTGCCTGTGACTCAGTGGATAGGGCACCAGCCCCATATACATACCGAGGGTGGCAGGTTAAAACACAGCCCTGCCCAAACTGCAACAACAAAAAAATAGCTGAGCATTTTGGTGGATGCCTGTAGTCCCAGCTTACTCAGGAGGCTGAGGCAAAAGAATCACCTAAGCCCAGGAGTTGGAGGTTGCTGTGAACTGTGATGCCACAGCACTCTACCAAGGGCGATAAAGAGTGACACTGTCTCTACAAAAAAAAAGTGAAAGATACTTTGATTATGTGGAATTATCTAACAATATACATTTTAGGAAGATGCAGAACTCTGGCATAGTTTTAAAGATATTAAATGGTGTACTGTTCTGACAGCACAAGTTAAATCAGAGTTTATTTGTTCTCATCAATTTGATTCTTAAGTTTGTCTTACTTCTCTACAATTAGCATGCTCTAATATACAAGGGAAGTGGTTTTAGAAGTGATAAATTCACTATTTTTACGTTAGAAGACAAAGAACAATGAATGAATTTTAATCACTTAAGTAATCAAATGTGCTATATCACACAAGACTATTTTTGCTTATAAATTGCTATCACCCAAAAATATTTTTTCAAAAATGAAAAATTTTTTTTAGTAAGAGGTTTCTTAGGAGTTGCAGCTGCTAAAGAAATGCATTCCTGGCTCAGCACCTGTGGCTCAAGTGGCTGGGGCGCCAGCCACATACACCTAAGGTGGTGGGTTCGGATCCAGCCCAGGCCCGCCAAAACAACAACGGCTGCAACCAAGAAATAGCCGGGCATTGTGGTGGGCACCTGTGGTCCCAGCTACTTGGGAGGTGGAGGCAGGAGACCCGCTTGAGCCCAGGAGTTGGAGGTTGCTGTGAGCTGTGATGCCACAGCTCTGTACCTGGGGGGACAGCTTGAGGCTCTGTCTTAAAAAAAAAAAAAAAAGAAATGCATTCCTCTCAAGTCTTCAGAGAGCAAAGGTCACAACTACCCAAAATGTTTCCACTCCCAGCATAAACTGTACATATGAAGACAACATACCTTGCATTATCAACCAGTTCAGCAAGAGCACCAAATAAGAATTCATGAGTGGTTCTGAAATGATAAATAAGAGTCAGCAAAAGCATTATGAATTAAAGTATGACTCCTAAATCATAGTTACATTTTTCACTGCCTTAACCAGTGATCAGTTTCTAAATATCTTGGAAGAAGAACTGCAAGGTTATGTATGTCTCATACCCACCACTGGCTTCCCTCTTCAGAGTAGGTAGCTCACGTGCCTGTAATCCTAGCACTCTGGGAGGTTGAGGCAGGAAGCTCACCTGACCTCACCCCTGACCTCAGGAACTCAAGAATTCAAGACCAGCCTGAACAAAGGAATATTTCCTCTGTACTAAAGATAGAAAAAGTAGCTACCCATTGTGGCAGCCACCTGTAGATCAGGTAGTTGGGAGGCTTGAGACAGGAAGATCACTTGAACCCAGCAGCTTGAGGCTGCTGTAAGCCAAGCTGAGGCCACAGCACTCTAGCCTAGATAACAGAGTGAAACTATCTCAAAAAAAAAAAAGTGAAAAAAGAAAAAAAAGGAGTCAGTTAACTTTAACAGAGTCCCTAGGAAACCACACTAACCTCTTGTTCTCCCAGAACAAATTGTTCAAGACAACCTTAGAGTATTCTCTCTAATGTAGAGGAAGTTCTGTTTTTATGCACAATTTGAGAAAGTCAAGAAATAGGTTATTCCCTCCTCCCTCTTTCAAAGGGACTATTTTTGTTTATAAATTGCACAATAGCGCATGAGTTTCCTTTTTTACTGGCACATCACACACAGGCATTGGTAAGGCAAAATGCTAACATGTTATTTATTGAACATGCTCAACTTCACAGTCTTTGTATTTGCCATAACAGCCCTTATAATATAGTTGGATGTGTCCACAACATAGAACTAGATTAAAAAAAAAAAAAAACAGGTTGACTTTTTTTTTTTTTTGGAGACAGTGTCTCACTCTGTCACTGAGGCTAGATGACAGTGACATGATCATAGTTCACCACAGCCTCAAACTCCTGGGCTCAAGCAATCCTCCTGCCTCAGCCTCCTGAGTAGCTGAGACTAAAAAGTACACACAACTACACCCGGCTAACTTTATCTATTTTTGGTAGAGATGGGGATGGGGGTCTCACTCTCAGTCAGGCTGGTCTTAAACTTCTGAATTCAAGCCATCCTTCTGCCTCAGCCTCCCAGAGCACTAAGATTACAGGCATGAGCCACTACACTCGTCAAGGTTGACTTTCTAGTAAATACAACATCATTAACCCACACACATATTACCATCAATTTTTCAAAAATATCCAATTTATTCCTGATTTTTCTGCATAAAAATTTCAACCAAAAGCCAAAGAGAAAAATTTGAAATGAAATATATCAATATTAAATAGCCAGCACCCAGGATCTCTGGTTACTTACATATTACTTTAAACAAATTGTAAAACATTTGTTTATAAAATAAATACCCACAACAGAACAGCTTAGTAACATTGGTTTTTCCCTCCTCAAGTAACTCATCAAATTTTTACAAATGTAAATCTTTGTATTAAACAAAACTATACCAGATATAAAACTGTGGGGAGAACTTCTCCCCATAAGATCAGTGAATTTCTCTGTTGCTAATCCAAAAGCATACTTATTTACAACCAGTAAATACGTTCTAACAAAAAAAAACTTTTATCATTGATTCACCTAGAAAGCAGAGCTCAAATTCTTCTGGCTAAAAGCCAGTTAATTGTTTTACATGGAACAGCCAAAAAAAAAAAAAAAAAAAAGGAAGGAAGGAAGGAAACAAAAGTACATAAAACAGCTATATCTTAATAAAAATATTTAACTCTCTAGAATTATCACTTCAAATTCTTTAAATTATCAATTGAATTGGCTCGGCACCTGTGGCTCATGCGGCTAAGGCGCCAGCCACATACACCTAAGGTGGTGGGTTCGAATCCCCAGCCCGGGCCCGCCAAACAACAATGATGGCTGCAACCAAAAAATGGCCAGGCATTGTGGCGGGCACCTGTAGTCCCAGCTACTTGGGAGGCTGAGGCAGGAGGCTCGCTTGAGCCCAGGAGTTGGAGGTTGATGTGAGCGTGATGCCACGGCACTCTACCCAGGGGGATAGCTTGAGGCTCCGTCTCAAAAAAAAAAAAAATTATCAATTGAATAAACAAAATATATACTCTGCAAATTACTCCACTGAAGAAATAGGGAAGAATATACTAGAAAATTTAGGTGACTTGTCAAAGGTAGGTTATGTATGTAGGTTATAAGTAAATCTAGGCACAGCACCCGTAGCCAAGCAGCTAACAGTGCCAGCCACTTACACCAGAAGTGGTGGGTTCGAATCCAGCCCAGGGCTGGCAAACAACAATGACAACTACAACCAAAAAATAGCCAGGTGTTGTAGCTGGCACCTGTAGTTCCAACTACATGGGAGGCTGAGGCAAGAGAACCGCTTAAGGCCAGGAGTTGGAGGTTGCTGTGAGCTATAATGCCACAGCACTCTACCCAGGGTGACAGCTTGAGGCTCTGTCTCAAAAAAGAAAAAAAAAATAGAAACAGCAACTGTTTCTCAGCAATATATATATTTTGATTGTTTCACATGAAAATAAGACATAAGAAGCCAGCAAGCAGATCTCAAAAGAGCAAGCACACAGTACCTGTGGCCAATTTTTCATTGCTCTCTATACAATGTTTAGAAATGTGCCTTGCATGTTTAGAACCTAAAAATATTCCAAATGGTCTTTGTTGTTCCACATAGTATCAATGCTGTTCCACACATACATATTTCACATAAGCTAATATATAATTTTTAAATGTAGTTATCGGGTACTTTTGTGATGGCAGTACACATCACAGTGGGGCCTTTTCTGATAACTGTTGCTAAGGTCAGAGACAATATTCAGAATCCTCTCCCAACCTCTAAATGACTAATAGATCTTCCAGATACTAAAGCGCTGGCTCAGCACCTGTAGCTCAAGCAGCTAAGGCGCCAGCCACATATACCAGAGCTAGTGAGTTCAAATCCAGCCCAGGCCTGCCAATGACAGCCACAACCAAAAAATGACCAGGTGTTCGGGAGGGCGCCTGTAGTTCCAGCTACTTGGCTGAGGCAAGAGAATCGCTTGAGCCCAGGAATTGGAGACTGCTGTGAGCTATGATGCCACGACATTCTACCCAGGGCAACAGCTTGAGGCTGTCTAAAAATAAATAAATAAAATAAAGTATGGTTCTAAGCACTTCTCAAAATCATAAAAATCAAAAACATAACTACTACTTAAGTTTTTTTTTTCCCCAGATAATATTCCAAGAGGTGTACTCACAGCTAGCTAGATAGAATGGATAAAAATCAAAAGAAATTCTTTCCTTAACAGACCTAAAGATCCTCTGTATGTGATCCAAGAAAGATCAACTATCTGGAAAAAGACAAAGATTTTTTAATAAACTTGTCCAATTTCAAGTGATCCTGGCTTTTATACTACTGTGCCACAGCAGAAATAGTTTTGCAGTTCAGCAGTTCCAGCAACAAATTCACGTGTAAATTAGCTTGTTAAGTAAGGAGAATGATCTCCCCGTTTACATCCAGCCTGATTATCCACAGGCTCATCACATACTGATACGCTTCTGCTGAGTTCCTGGATATACCAACAAAATTACCTAACTGCTAGAAAATAAAGATAAGAAACTCTGGATATATACTGAAATGGATTTAATATAGAGTGTGAACCTACGCTTCAATAGGCTTAAAAATTATGTAAGTCTCTAAAGTGACAGGTTCCTCTACACTTACTTCACATACAATTAAAAAAACCCAGAAATATCATATGGACAAGATAATAAAGTTATTAAATGTCCCAACAAGAACAGACATAAACAGTAGGCATCTTATACTTAGCATCCTGCTCTATCAGACCATTTATCAGTACTGCAAAGTGACTTAAGACAATGCATCTAAGGCTAAAGGAACATCTCTACCACTACCCCATCTGGAATACTAGTCACAAAACCCATCAGCAAAGAGAAGTAGTAGCATAAAACTCCTTTTATTTAAAAACTTTGATTTTTATCCTCTCATACGAGCAACATTCAGTATTAAAAGAGATTAGCTAAGAACATCAAATTACCATGAGAATTATTTCCCAGGCCTGCTTCATGTCTGGATGATGTAACCAAGAGAATAACTATCAATAGTTACCACAAACTGAATACAAAAGTAGTTCAAGACAGATGTTCCAGAATTCATCAACAATTTATCTACCTAACTAGTAACACCAAACACCATGGTGGAACCACAATGATCAACTTTTTATTTACTTAAATTAATACGACAAAGAGAACAATAATCACCACCTACATGTTTACTGTGTACCATGTATGAGCTAAAAACTTTATAAGCATTATTTTACATAATCCTCATAAACATTGTCAGATTATCCCCATCTTACAGATGAAGAAACAGGATCAATAAGCTGACCTACCCAAGACACAGCCAGGAAACAAATACAAATTTGGCTGGCTCCCAAACACACAGTCCTTTCACTGCACTGGAGATTTCCAACTTTCTAGTCTAGGCTCTGCTTGTAAGTCTACGGTAAATAGGAGGTAAAAGAAGGGCGATTTTTTCCCACACTTACAATACTGCAATATTGTAGATATCAGACACTCTAGAATGATCTTGTGTTTTAAAATCTTTAACATAATAAAGAAGGCACTGTAAGACATTTACCCTGAAGATGCCTTACTAAACCATATAATGCAAAGGTAGTTCATCTTCATCTTCCATCACTGTTAAGTTAGAAGTCACATTGTGAGACTATAAAAATGTTTCCTCTAAAAATGCACTTCATACTTTCTTTTGATAAAACTAGACATACTGAAGAGTTGAACAACTTCAAAGGTCAAAGTTATGATCCACATAAGAAATCCCCAAGCTTCCAAAATGATACTCCAACCCTCAAATGTTCATGGAAGCAGGTGGTTCCAGTTCAACAAGGGATGTCAAAGTCACAGAAAATTCTCCAACTTTAATTTAATTGAGTTTGTTTCTTTTCCTTCATGTTGCCTGTGTATCTATGATTAAGCTATAAAACAGCACAAGAGGGAGAAATATCCCAGAATCCTCAAATTAGAGAATCATTGAGATAAACTAAAATTGAAGACTTTAAAGTGAGAAGTAAACCCTTTACTTTATAGAAAAGCAAATAAGCCCCTGAAGATAAATCTCACCAGAGTCAGTACTGCCTAATGGTTAAAAAGTACTAACCATGGGGACTGACAAATCTTTTTGCCTTAAATCTTGGCACTTTAAATACGCCACTTAGCAGCTATGTAACTGTTAGCACATAATGTATTCTCTTTGAGCTTCAGTCTCCTCATATGAAAAATAGGAATAGGCTCAGCAACTGTAGTTCACTGGTTAGGGTGCTGGCCACATACACCAGGACTGGCCGGTTCGAACCAACCCAGGCCTGCTAACAACTACAGCAACAACCACACCAAAAGAGCCAGGCATTGTGGCAGGTGACTATAGTCCCAGGTACTTCGGAGACTAAGGCAAGAGAATCGCTTAAGCCCAAGAGTTTGAGGTTGCTGTGAGCTACGATGCTACGGCAGTCTACCAAGGGCGACATAGTGAGACTCTGATCCTTACTCCCATTGGATTTCTGTAAAAATTACTCCAGGCAATGTTTTAAACAGTGACTGGCATGAAGCAATTAACTGTTTTACTATTACATAATTACATAAGGCCTCTGGTAAAGCTGGAACAAGATCTCAGATTCTGAAGTCCAGTTCATAGTCTTCTAAGATGATCACAAAATTTGTAATTCCAGATTTTCCCTGTCATTCCAAAATTCAGAACCCAGACAAATATTTATCAAACACAATCATTGAAACATTGAAGTGGCCTTCAACTGCTTGTTTTTGACATGTCAATTCAAATATAAAAAAAGACACTGAGTATCTTGCCCAAAGCTGTCCTATCAACTAGCTGAGGAACCTTTGATCAGTGACCTCATCTAACTGGGTTTCAGGTTCATCAATCCTCAAGTGTGAGAATTCACTTAAGTGACCTCTGCAGTGCCTTCTCTAAAATTCTGTAGTTCAATAATAAGCTCCCTGAACAAAACAAAATAAAACTAGGCTCTCATTATTTGGCAATTTACTTCACTAATTTGAAAATTTTTATTTCCTTTATAGGAAAACAGCAAAAAATTAAAGACATTATAGAATCACAAATAACACGTCCTTTTTCTGTAAAAGGCTAAAAATCATTATATTGCTCTTATTGGATAGCTGAAGTCTAGGCTCTCAACTCTGAAGTGGTTCATCAGATAATTCCGGACCATTCACCTAGCTGCTCATCACCTCTCTCAGTACCAAAATCGTACAATGCTTACCTTCATCTCAAAAGAAAATGGCAAAATGTATTAAAACACAAAAGTAGTTTTGACCCCACTGGATAACTTCCAAGAGAGTGGGCATAAGGAATAATCATGGGACATTCCACATGGAACTGCAGTTATGGTAATCTCTTCATGAACTCAAGAACTTTGAACACCTTATGTTTACATGGAAATCTGGAGGAAAGGCTATGGAAAATCAAGGGTTTAAACAAGTTGCCATTTAGTGCTTAGTATATATAAACTAAATGGGATGTAGAGAGCATTCCCAAGAAAGTAAAAGTGGGGGGGGGATGAAAGTAGAAATTTTCTTCTCACAAGTTGTCACCAAATGTCTTCATTCTTTTTTAGTCTTGTTAGAAAGTAAATACTTATTACTAATCTAAATGTGGATACTAGAGAGAAAAAATAGCGGATATTAAAAATAGTCCAACTTCTGGAGATCCAATAGAGCAGTACTTGTTGAATTCCTATCAAAAACTTGAATGAAATAACTCAATACATTGGCTTCAAATAACTCAAGTTTGCATCTAGAAAATTTTCATCCAATAAATGAAAATCATATTCTTCTGGATTAGCAACAAATACTTCACTGATCTCAGTCCTTCAACAGAGCTTAAGACATCCAGTGATACACTTCACTGCAGTGATACATCCCAAAAAGTAAAAACGCAAAATTTTCTGGGGAAAAAGTTTCCATATTATCATCAAGGAATGAGTTTCAGTGACCTTGGCGTGGCACCTACAGGATACTTACGAATTTGTGTGCAGATATTCAAACGTTAGCTGAGCTCGATTCAGACTGCTGTAATTTGTGAAAGCCATAACTGCAATGAGGTCTCCAGTCTTTTACGACTAACTAGGTACCTTATGATGTATTCGTTTTTTCCAGGATTCTTTCCAACAAAGGTTTAGTAAGTCTGTGCTCCTTAATGAGTTAACCAAAATCACCTAGTATCTATCCAAAATATTATTCAAATAGATGTTTAAAAGTAAAAGTGATTTCTTCAAGTGTTTTTTCCCTCTTCTCGGTTACTATGACGTAATATTCTCAGAATGAACTACGTCATAAACTGGCAGTCCCAAAGAGCTTTCCTTTAGCGTTAAGTTGCGACAGCTCAATCCGGGCAATCTGAACCAAAAGTGAATGGTCTTGGAGTAGATAGTCCTTGAGTTGGCAGTTTATCACTGCTCCATCTTCGTGTTCTTTGAGCCGTTTTTTCCCCCCAAAATTTACCACTCTGAAAACTTACCAATCCGGAAATGTACCCTCTTTTGTCAGAAAACTTAACAATCACCCATGTCTTCACTACTAGTGATGTCAGGTTTCTTAAACAGGCCCTAGATTAGAGACCAAGATGTCCACGGAGTGCATGTGGCACAAGTTCCGGCTTCACCTCCCCAAGTGGAAAGCGCTGACAATTTATTTTTTCAAAGCCCGATTAAGCCCAGTTTGCTGTCCCGCCCTAATCCCCTCAGGGTGGTGGGTCAAATTACTTCACAATGGCTTTTAAAACGCCTCACAACTGACCCGCCCAAATCACTTCAGGCGGCCCGCGCCCCTCCCCCTCCCTCAGACAGCCTTAGCCTCTCAGACCCTTCCCGGGCCTCAGTCTCGTGGTCTCCTCCTCGCGGCAAGTAGTCCCAGTGTTCACAGACAGGAACAAGAGCAGTGGCAACCGCACCACCAGACCGGGCGTTGCCCGGCGCTCACTGATGCCTTTGTCCCTCCCCGCGGAATTGGAACCAAACAACCGCAGCGCGCTCTCGGAACCATGTGCTGCTGCCGCCGCCGCTGCCACCGCCCTCGCGCGCCGCGCTGGATGAGATGATGTCAGGATTCAGCGCCGCGAAATTCGGCGTTTAGAAAAGCACTGCCGCCTCCACCACAACAGCTACCGCCACCAGAGCCACCGCTTTGTCTCCGCTGGTGCACACAGCCCAAACCACCTAGCACACTTCCCGACGCCCCAAGCCCCTGAGGCCTCCACGGAGCATTCCACCAATCAAAAAACCTCAGCTCCTCCCGCCCCCGCCCTGATGCACCGCCTTCTGATTGGCGGGTAGGACATTCTCACGTGACCGGATCTAGGTTTGGCGGGTCCGCCCCTGTCACGTGAATGCGCGCGCCTCTCTTCCTGCTTTCCTGACCCTCTCCGCCATTTAAAGAAACAGTACCGGGGGCGGGCCGAGCGACGCAGCCGGGACGGTAGCTGCGGCGCGGACCGGAGGAGCCATCTTGTCTCGGCGCCGGGGAGTCAGGCCCCTAACTCGAAGAAGCCCTGGCGCGCCCTCCCCCCCTCCCCGGTCTGGTAGGGCGAAGGAGTGGGCGCGCGGTCGATCGAGCGATCGGTTGGCGGCTCTTTCTCCTGCTCTGGCATCCAGCTCTTGGGGCGCAGGCCCGGCCGCCGCGGCGCGCGCCCGGTGGCCGTTGGCGCTCGCGCCGCGTTTTTCTTCTTGTACGAAGAACTCGGGCGGCGGCCTATGCGTTTGCGATCCGGCGAGGAGTCGTCCGGGTGGTCGGTGGCGGGGGGCAGCTGCTCCGCCCCGCTCCGGGGGAGGCAGCGGCAGCAGCGGGATTTGGCGCGGCCGGGGAGGCGGGGGTGGCCGGGGCCGGCCTGGAGGCCTGGCGCCACCCTTCCGGGCCTGCAAGGACCCAGTTGGGGGAGCAGGAGGGGGCCGGAGGATGGTTGGTGGTGGGCTTTCTACTTTGCCTTTTCCTCCTCATGCCGCCTTAGTGAGGGGCGGGAGGTCTGGCGGCAGCTCCGGGGTGGGAAGAAGCGCCCCGGAGTCGGAAGACTTGAGTTTGCTTCCGGGCCTAGCCACCAGTTGGCCGAGTGACCTTAGGCAAGTCACTCTGTAATTTGTCTGCGCCTCAGTTTCCTCCTCTGCCTGTCAATGTGTGTGGAATTGAAAGTGCTTTGTAAACTACAAAGCGTTGGTTGTACGTAAAGGATTATTGTTTGTGATGTTTTTTGAGTTGTAAGAGAACTTAGCAATTATCCAATCCTTGTATTTTGAACCTGAGGACCTTGGATTGGAGTTGGAGGTTCCCAAACTCCCTGAAATTGTATGCAGAAATTTTTGGGAATTTGCGTTTTAGGGGAATAATGATCCATCGCTAGCAAGTTTCAAAGGGGGCTGTGATGCGGAATAGTTAACAACGATTCCTTTATGCCACAGGGAGGAAACTGAGGCCTAGATGTCATTTGGGACCCTTCACAACCAATTTAAGCCCCTGTTTGAGTCCCTGGGATATGTGAGCTGTTTCTATGCATAACGAACGGATATTCGGGGTAACAACACTCCCCTGCTTGGCTTCTATTCTGTATTTTCCCTTTACTTTAACCATGGGGAGCCTGAAAAGTGGCTGATGCATATGGTACAAGGGCACCCGATATAAAGCAGCTACAATTAGAGGTGGATGTGTTCTCTAGTATCAGGAAGCTTATTTAATTTTTGGCCCAGCTACTCTTTGTTTTCTGCCACTTGTACCAGTGCCAGACAACTTTTCTGACCCTTTGACCATTTTTCCACAACTGCAGTTGCCATCCATTACTTGCTCCTATTTTGTATCCCTAGTCTGTGTGGTTGGTAGTGAACAGGCTTATTTTTAAATGGTGCTGCCAGGCCTAACTAATTAATGGTGCAGTGTGGATTTTTAGCAAATGGACTCACTGGAACAGACTGAACCAGGCATGGAATTCCTGAAGATGTTTGGGGTTTTTTATTAATTGAAGGTTAACATTTTCTGGAGAGTTTTGTTAGCTCTCCTGCAGAAACTCAAAATCAGTAGCTATGGAAGTGATTCACAACTTTTCCCAGCCTGCTTTGTACTCCATTTGCTTGCAAGTGTGATACTAAAATGGCCAAAATGCCAGTTTTTGCTTCTTTGTTAGTTGTCAGCTGCTTTTATTAAATTCCAGGCCATTATCCAGCAAGCACTAAAAATGTTTGAACAGTTGCATTTCAGACATTTTCATTTTGTGGAGTGGTGCTTACAAAGTGGTACAACTCTAAGCAAGTGAACAGACACATTCTAAGTGTATTTAGTCTGATTAGATGTTAGTCAATTATACTGTTCTATTCAAATGTCTGAAAAAATCAATTGACTATTCCCTTTAAACTAAAGGGCAGAGACAAATAATCTCACTTCCAGAGAAATGACTGTTTTGGAGAAAAATGTGTTGGTCTTTTAGCTCTTTTATAATTAAATCTGGATGTACCTCAAAAGAATCTTAAGACTGTGGTGATAAGATGCTTTTCTCAGATGAAAGGAGGCAAAACACAACTGGAACTCAGAAGCTTGAAATTCTTTGTTAAAACAAGATGTCCAGGATTGGAAATTGAAAGTTTCACTATAGCGTTCTGCACTAGTTCGAGCAGATATCTTTCAGTGTAGCCACAGCCAAGGACTCCAGATTTCCAGATTTTCAAGAACTGGACCTCTTTCAGCCTGAAAGAGCTTGTCAGGATGTGGCGGGAACACTGGAGGTAGATTACTTTTTATTTTTTAATTTTGGTAATGTTGACCTTGCTGTGAGAAGAGAGGCAACAACTAGCAAGCACTGCCCCACCAGCGCTGTTACGGGGAATTAGAAGACCTGAGTTTCTGCCCAGACCCTCAGTGCAAACTGAGGATGCTCCATCCAAAGTGAATTACGGTACTTGTCATTTTCCAAAATGCATTATTCTTTGCCATCTCTGCACTGTTGTTCATACTCTCTTTCGTACCTAGGAAATGCCTTCCTCTGGTTGTTCACCTGTCAAAACTGTCTTTTCGTCAGTATCCACCTCAGATGCTCTCTTTTCCATAAGTCTCTAACTTCAGCCAGAAATGAACTTCTTCAAGTTTTATGACATGTTATATATCTTTTATCTGTCTTGGTATACAAAATCTTATAAAATATCTACCTGTATTTGCTCTTTTTGCAGATAGCAAACTCGTTGAAAGCAAGGGCCTTGTTTAGTGCATCTTTGCCCACACATACCACCACCTATGATGAAGCATTTCTTAGAAAGAAGGAGTTTAGAGTGCAGGCTGTCTCAGAATAAGCACTCAGTAAGTGTTTGCTTAATTAAGATAACTAAAGTTACTGTTAATTAGAAGAAAAGTCATTAGATATGGGCCATGTTTCTGCTTTAATTTTTTTTTCAATGCTAAATTTTCAAAGATTTAGGGAACCCTCAGGCATAAAGAGAAACTGATACATTGATGGGGTATTACCTACAGAAGGATACAAGGATGGAGGCGTTAGTCTCTCCTACTCAAGATGGAATCTTATTAAAATGAACTTTAAGGGCTGCTTTTAAAAGTGGTCATAGACAGCTTGAGGAAGACACTGGAAAAGGAAGAAGGGCAATATTTCCTTTGCTTTATTGTTGGTATAGGGAGAGTGTAATATCTTAGATCTTTTGTGCCCACTTCCTCTCCACACCAGCTAATGACCAGCAGCCTAAATATAATCAGATTACTCCCCCAAAGTACAAGGCTAGGGGTAGTTGTTTGCTGCTTTCCTGAGATAGTTTGTTCTCAGAAGTCACAGGACAGCCTTTGCCAGAGAACATTCTGTTCTTATCAGCAATTGTTAATCCGGCTTTTGTGTTTTTCTTTCAGAAGTTTTATTTTTGGTTTTCATTTATCGTTTGTTGGTGTCTCAGCCAGGTTTGTGAAGAATTAGTACTCATGGGGCAGCTGTTGTGCTGACAGCAGGCCCATACAATGTTAGAGTCATGTGTTTATAATTCCTTGCATTTGCTGTCTCACTTGTTTTATCCCTGCCCCTTCTAGTCCTGTGCCTCCTGATTGCTGAGTGTTCACCTGGACCTTCTGACTACCTTGTACTATTCCATCAGGATACAGATCTGATATCTGGATTTTTGCCCATGGTGATTCCAACCACCTTACTACTGATGAAGACACCATTCCAGTGAACCACTGTGACCCAAGAGACATTTAGCCATTATGATGTGGCCTTTACCTCCACTGCTGTCCTGTTCTACCCAGCACAGCCCTTTATAGTGAAGTCAGTCCTCAAGCCAAATAGCTGAAGCTATTTTATCACAACAAAGGCCTAGTTTGTTCCATGAGTGTGCATTTCATTTCTTCAGTTAAAGCCTTCAGAGACACATAATAAATTTGGACCAAGGGGTTTTTAGTTACTAAAGCTGTCTGAAGAAAGACAACATCTCTTTAAGAACAGAATTGGACCATACCCCACAATCACAAATGAAAGTTTGTGAACTTTCTAGAATCCCATCAAGATCACTGGACCCTGTTTTTCTACTTCAAATCTGTAGTAGCCTACTGAATGAGAAAGCATTCTGACCCATTTGGGATCAAAACAAAGGCACAGTGAACTCCTCATTGCATCTTCTTTGGGATTACTCAGGAACCAGAACTTTTCACACAAATGTAAGAAATTCTACCAAGGAATCCCTTTACCTAACAGCATCTCAAAAGTCTCCAATCAGATGCCAGGAAAGGCCTCTTGATACATCAAGGTAGAACCTTTATGGTAATCCCTTCTGTTTGTGTAGCATTTTACAGTTTCAAAGCACTTCTATATACATTTATCTCTCTTAATTATAATCACTTTTTGTAAATGAGGGAATGGAAGGTTAAGCAGTTTTCCAAGATGACGTAGCTATGAAGTGATAAAGGCCAGGCCTCTGACTCCCAGTCCAGTACTCTCCTGGAATTAACTTGGCCTTCACTTTATCCAAAATGTTAAAATGGCTGGAGTTTGGGGACCCTAGGAAAATTTTCAATTTCCTGATCTGGTGCCCCAGTCACATGGGATATTATAAGTATAATCATGGGATTGCTGTACCTAGACCACAGACCCATGGCAGTATCCCTAAGGTTTAGGAGCATACTGTCTGCACATGGTAAACTGTCTAGTAAAAAATAAACATATTCTTTTTTTTTTTTTTTTTTTT